CAGGGTGAAAAGAGGTTGCGTTTTCCTTGGCGGGGGCCCGGGCGCGCTGGGGATCTGGGTGGTGCTTCATTGGCCGGCACAAAACATTTTTGAATTAAAAAGTTAAACACCGAGTTACCTCGTGACCCGGCAGTTTCTCCCCTTTATCTGCCCAAGAGACAAGAAAACGTGCGTCCATACAAACTCTAGCCCCGGGAGGCTGACCGCAGCCTGTTCACAACGGCCAAAGGCAGAAGCGACCCAAGCGTCTATCCACCAGTGCGCACAGAGACGACAGGACATAGCCACTGGATGGAGTCGAGTTCGGGGAAATCCTGCCACATCATGAACCTTGGAGACATGAGATAAGCCAGTCATATACCACCATATATTATGATTCCCTTTATTTATCTATTTTTGGTACTGGGAATTGCACTCAGGGACACTCGACCCCTGAGCCCCATCCCCAACCCTATTTTGTACTTTATTTAGAGACAGGGTCTCGCTGAGTTGCTTAGGGCCTCGCCTTTGCTGAGGCTGGCTTTGAACTCGCGATCCTCCTGCCTCAGCCTCCCAAGCCGCTGGGACGACAGGCAGGCACCACCGCGCCTGGCTGTATGATTCATTTATATAAAGTGGCCAGGACGGGCAAATCTTTGGAAGTAGATAGTGGATTAGCGGTGACCTAGGGCTGGACCCGTTGGTGGAAAATGGGGAGTGGTTGCTGGTGGATACGGGGTTTACTTGGGGGACAGTGAAAATGTTTTAAAATTAGACGGCGGTGACTAAAAACCACTGAGTCACATGCTTCCCATGGGCAAAGTTTATGGTATGTAAATTACACCTTAATAAAGTCATTTTAAAAACACTCTGAAGTAAAAAATCAGGAGACTTTTTCCATAAAAATCCAGATCCTGGCTCTCCTTGAATGCCAGGCATGTTTCTCCATGGCAACCGTGAGCTGTCCCCGAGTCTACCAGAGTCCCCACACTGCCTGCTGTATCACACCTGGGCAGCTCTGGTGTCATCTGCATGGACCGTGTGGGTGTTGGACGCGGGACCACAATGACCACAGGTGCCCAAGTTACCAGCCCCGGTCTCATGTCTGTCCCTGGCCACACAGAGCCCTGGACCAGGAGGGCTGTGTGCGCGGGCGGTGGATGCACAGCGTGGTACACTGACTGCTCCAGGGATCTCAAAGCCCATGAGCTTTGAAGCCAGAGTCGCCACCGACCAGCTCAGAGCACCTCGGTTTTCTGAACTGCAGAAGGGGGACAATCACAGCAGCCGCCATCACAGGGCCAAACCGAGGTGCTGTGCCCAGCATACAGTTGGTGCTCAAGAAATGTGAGCTACGGGCTGCGATTTCTTGTCCGCCGTCTCCAATCCCAGGACCTTCTGAAACCATACGCTTTTTTCTTGATAAAGACAATTAGGACAGAGGCCTGGAGATTTCTGAAGACAAATCTAGAGCCCAGGGGGATGGACACTGGGATTAAGATGGAGACTCTGCAGGAAAGGGCTGGGCTGTCCCCGGGACACCTGGTCTGGGGGGTGACATCAGCACTGGCCTCCTTCCCTTTGGGATCTGGAAAGATTCTGCGGGGTCTGTGGGCACGTGAGGGGCTGGAAGGGGCTGGTGCCCAGGGGGATACCTGTAGCATCCAGAGCTCACGGGGACTCCCCAGGGGACCTGGCCAAGCGGCCCCAGCCCTTGTGCCAATTAAGACTTTGGTCCCAGAAGAGGGAAGATCAGTCCTGGCCCCTCCCTCCCTCAAATGTTATCAATGGCTCCCATCTGCCCAAAGAAAACTCAGCTGGGAGCAGAGGACAGCTCAGAGGCCCAGCTAGGCCACCTAGCTGGCTGGCTGTTGTCCCCGGTCCCTGGGAAGGGAACTCTAATCTGTCATCTACCAGCTCCTGGGAGCACGGCCCTTGAAGTTTATGCTAATGAGATGCTAATGAGATCACCCTGTAAGAAGGTTGGGGCTTTGCACCAGCCTGACCCAGGAAAGGGCCAGAGAGACGGCCAGCAACCAGGTGGCCAAGGTTTCCACCCACCCAGCGGGTGCCACCAAATCCCCATCAACACTCTGGACACCAGAGCCCAGCGGAGCTTCCTGGTGGGAGAACACGCCATGTCCCAGACACAGCTCCAAAAAGTTAACCCCCCCATCAACCTGTGCACTGGTAAACGGGAGACTTAACCCCTGAGCCACATCCCCAGCCCTTTTTAAATATTTTATTTGGAGACAGGATCTCACTGTGTTGCTAAGGGCCTCTGGATGCTGCTGAGGCTGGCCTTGAACTTGCCATCCTCCTGCCTCGGCCTCCAGAACGGCTGGGGTCACAGGTGTGTGCCACTGTGCCCAGCCGATCCTCTGTCTAGCTTCTGGGCAGCAGGGCCATCCACGGCTCCCGGTCAACTCAGTGACCACAGGGAGCATGAGCCACGCTCTGCATTGCACTGGGGGGCTGAGCCGAGGATGGCGGAGTCCATGTGTGTAATGCACTATGGACGGAGGATATTTCCGACTTAGGACGAGCGTCTGGCGGAAACCTCGCGGTGAGCTCAGGGACATCCACACGGGCACAGAAGGAGGTGTCTGGCAAGGAGCAGGGGTCAGTGGATGGAATGTCACTGAAAAGGACACCTGGGGCTGGGGTGCAGCTCAGGGACACGGCACGTGCCTGGCATGCGCAAGGCCCGGGGTTCAATCCCAGCACCACAGAAATTTTTAAAAATGGATAAAAAGACAAAACACCAGAGCTGAGAGGGGTTCTGGCAAAACCGCACAGGATTCCGGCGGACGGCAGGCCCGGGCATATCGAGGGTCGGGGACCTGGCGTTGGATCAGGTATCAAGGGCAGGACACCTGCTAAACCGGACTCCCCCGGCCAAGGACAGAGCCCAAGGTCAGGACCCAGTCAACAAGGGGACTCAGGGGGGCCTGATTCCAATGGGACAAATGAGAGACCCCTGCCACAGCTCAGCAGGTGGCCTTTGTGACTCACCCAGCCAAGGGGTTGATTTGGCTAATTAATCCTAATCACCAGCTGAGCAGGGGCTGTCCCCAAACTCGGTGTCCTCCTCCGCTCTAGAGCCGCTGACCTTGGGCTGAGCTGGGCCAGCAGATGGCAGGAGCCAGGCGCTCCCCGGCCGGCTTCCGTGGCTGGCTGCCGTCCACGCCTCCTGCCCGCTCCTTCCCGGACAGGCCAGAAGCCAGGTCCCCCCTCCGGGGCCCTCTGCACGGGTGCCCTGCTCTCTGAGGCACCCCTGAATCCGGCTTCCTGGCCCTGCGGGTCATTCAGCTGCCACCTCCAAGTTGGTCCCCCTTCCCTGCGCCTCTCTCCCAGGCGTGAATTCCAAGTCCCTCCCCTCCGCCACGTGCCACTTTGGTCTTAATATCTCATCTGCCTGCTGCATGCTTCTCAGTGACTGTTTTCCACGGGACTTAAAAAATGAAATCCTCCCCCTTCCGCCCAGTCGCTTTGAAGCGGGCTGGAGAGGGGGCTTCATCCCAGCTCCACAATGAGCCAGCTGTGTGACCCCGGGCCAGTCAATTAACCTCCCTGAGCCCTGGATTGTTTATCTGCGTGGAATTACAATCTTATTTACTGGAGCAGCCAGACGCTCCACTGGGAGGAAAAGTGGATTTCAAAAAATTTTTTGAAGGGTGAAAACTTTGGTAAACCTTCGGAGGATGAGGGGCGGGTCTCTGTCTCCCCGGCCACCAGGACCTTCTGTCGAGCCGAGCCTGCGATGGTCCCGGGCCACAACCATCGTTTGTGACTGGAGCCACCAGGTTGAGGGGGAAGGCTGGGTGCTTGGGACCACCAAGAGGGTTCTTTGAAGAAGAGATGAAGGGGGACGCTCCACGCAGGGCACGCAGACCTGCTCAAAGTGGACTGAGCCTTCTTCCTCCTACTCCCTCCACCTCCCTGCTCGGTGGCCGTGTGCAGCAGGCGGTCAATAAATGCTGAGCACATGAGAAACAGGTTCTCAGCCTCCAGGAGCTGGTCAGGGGCCGGGCGGGGCCCAGGGTCACCGTGTTGCGGTGGAGATTCAGGCCACACGTGGCTCCTCAGCGGGATGGATGGCCACAAGGCCAAGTGTCACTCCGTGCAAGGGGCCTCCTGGAGCCGCGCTCAGGGGCACCTGGGATTCCCTCTGACTCACCCTCCACCTAGGGGTCACCCAGGCCCTGGGCAGCAGGCCACCCAATCCAGGGGCCTTTCCTTGGCGTCCTGTGGCTGCACTTCTCTGAGTGGCACGATGCTGGTGACTGTCCCCTCCTTTCTGAAACCCTGGAAATTTTTGCCTCTGAGGTCTTTTCCCGCAGTCTCTGACCCCCCACGCCCCCCTCTAGCTTCTGTGTGTTTGATCGTCTGCGTCCTACTCAGCATCTCCGGGTGGAAGGGTCAAAGGCGAATAAACTGAGGCGGAGGGGTGACGTGGGTGTCCTCCACCCCAGTGAGCGGCCTCTTCTTTTTTTTTTTTTTTCGTACCAGAGATTGAACCCAGAGCCGCTTCACTACCAAGCCACACCCCCAGCCCTTTTAAAAATTTTATTATTATCATTATTTTTAAATTTTGAGACAGGGTCTCGCTAAGTTGCTTAGGGCCTCACTAAGTCGCTGAGGCTGGCCTCCAACTTGTGATCCTCCAGCTCGAGCCTCCCACATCGCTGGGATTTCAGGAAGGCCTCGCTGGGCCTGGCCCTCCTTCTTTTTCTAATGGGTGTGCGCACACAAGGGTGCCTCACGCATCCTGGGCAAATGCTCCACCACTGAGCCATCACCCCAGCCCCACAAAAGCCACCACGACCCACCCATTCTGTAAAACCACCCTCTCCGCCTGCGCCCGGGATCCGCCCATCCCCCAGCTGTCCGGCTCCGAGGGGCGGGGCTGGGGGCGGGGCTCTGGAGCCCCGGGACTCCGCCCCGCTCGCTGCGCGGGGCGGACACGCCCCTCAGCCTGGGTCCCGGGCTGCGCCCCCTGCTGGCCGCGGCCGCCCTACCTGAGAGCACCGTGAAGACGGCGGCGAAGGCGTTGAGCTTGAGCCCGTCGATGACGCTGCTCGAGTGGAAGAGCTCGAGGCACATGAGGCTGAAGCCGACCACCAGCAGGAGGATGTAGAGCACCTCGGAGACCACCGACAGCCACAGCACCCCTGCGGAGGACAGCAGAGGCCCCGGTGAGGGCCGGCTCCCCACGTCCCCGCGGATGGAGGGACCCCCTACTGGCCAAGGGGGTGCGACCCACCAAGGGCCTCTCCCCTGTATCCCCGGGCTGGGCTGCAGAGGTGCCAGCAGATGGCCTCCCTGGGGGGCGTCGTCTGCAGCCTGACCAAGATCCCCGGTGCTGACCAGAGGGCAGAGGGTTCTCTGTCACCTGCGGCCCTCAGAATCCCGGGTCACACCCACACATCATGCTGCCCTCCAGGGACACCTACGCCTTTACCTGCCCTGTGTCCTTCCCTGCTTTTTTCTAGAAGTCACCCCTGCTATTCAACCTGGTGACTCTCCCGGCTATTAGGTCCCGCCCTTCCAGATGCAGATGAGTGGTCCAGTCTGATCATCGGACCCAGAAGGGACCAATCAAAGCCCTTCTCTAGGACTCCGAGCAGGGAGCCACAGAGACAGACCAGGAGAAAAGAGCTCAGAGGAGAGTCAGAGCAGGTGAGCGCCTGGATCCAGCCATTCCTGAAGGCCAGCTCCACGCTGCGCCTTCTAGTGGTTTAGCTATTCAAATTTTGTCTTCCCTAGCCAAGATAGCATGGCTTCCTTTCCCCCACGCGGCCCCCTAGTTTAGGGGGCATCTGCTGTTCCTCTACCCCACATTCTTCCCTTTTCTTCCTACCTCCTTTCTTCCAGTCTTGGTGGTTGAGTTGCTGCTAACCCACATCTTGGCTCCAAGTTTGGGGTACAGGGGCTCCCATCTAGCCAGTCATAGCTCCATGTCTCTCAATCTGCAGTTTGAGCTCAGGAATGACTCTCTCTGTGCCTCAGTTTCTTTCTCTATGAAGTGGGTATTTATTTGTATTCCTGTGAGGCTTCCGTTATAGCGCAGTGTAAGGATCCCGGGATCAGCACACGGGGAGGGCTGGCATCACGTGGGGAAGAACATGGTGGGGACACGGCCCGTGGGCTGGACATGGAGCTCAGGGACCCTTGACGGAGGGAGATGGAGACCCACAGCCAGATTCAAGAGTGAGAAATGAAGCCCGTGGTTTCTGAGACTCGGGGGGAGACGAGGAGGGGGAGCTGTGGCCACACCTGTGTAGCTGACTCTGCAAGCCCCACTAGTCGGGGGGTTCCAGCAAGACCCGTGCTTTAGAAAAGGGACACGGCCCAGGCCTGACTGGCCAGAGATGGCCCCGTGACGCACGTCCGTTCCAGGCGCTGGGCCACGGGACTTTTGCAGGAACTCGCAGGTCGGAGGTTGGCAGGCGGGAACCAGCTGAACTGTGTGGGAGCAGAACCTTCGTGAAGGTGAGGAGGATGTCGGGCTGAGACAGGGCGGGAGGCTGCATCCCGGTGACGCTGTCTGGTCCCTCGATCCAGCCAGGCCCAGGGAAGCCTGAGGGGGGACTCACGCCACTGTCCGTTGCTGTCCCCTGAAGCCCTCCTGTGTGTGTTCTGCGGCTGCCTGTGGTGCCCCCTCCCATGGGGACACGTCCCGGGAAGCACCCCATGGATCCTGTTTACTAAACGAAGCAAACAAACAGCTAATTCTGGGCCCCCATCTGTTTGCTGAAGGAAAGTCCAGATTCTGAAACACCCACTATCCTTTCCAACAAACGGGGCTTTCAGAGTTTGGGGAGAACTTTTCTCTTTTTCTCTTTCTTGCTACAAAAATATCGCGTCTCCTGCGCAGTCGGCCCTTGGATTTCGGAGAGAGAATAGTGCGCTCTTGGCAGCCGGGCGCCGCTGGAACACTCCCTGGCGCGGGTGTGCAGCTCCGGGGCCCTGGGCTGGCCCAGCGCCCACCAGGCAGCGGGAGGGAGGCAGGGAAGCGAGGGGAGCCGGCCGGGCCAGGAAGCTGGCTGCCCAGGACGGGTGACAGCCCCCACTCGGGAGCCTCCCTGGGGGCCTCGTCCCAGCCCACGCGGCCCTGGGCCAGGCGTCCCTCCCACGTGCACGCACAGTAGGGCCCTGCTCTGCTCTTTCAAATGGGATGAGGGGGTGGGTGCCACCGGGGTGGGGGGCAGCCCAGGGACAGCAGGAGCCCCGGGTGGCCATGTGGCCTCTTTCTCCTGCTAGCTCCTCTCTGGGACGGGCAGTGAGCCCTGCCCTGTCACAGGCCAGCCGGGATCGGGCTCCCAGCCCCGCTGCCTGGCTAGATCCGCGCCTGTGCCTTCTGGCCGCCGCAGGCTGGAGCATGTTTGAAAGTCCCCAACCCCTGTCCCCAAGCCACCGAGCGTCGCAAGGACAGCAGCCACATGATGATCATCACCGGGTTTCTGCTGAGGGCAGCAGCCAGGGTCACAGTACAGCTGGACAGTTAGGAGGTGACTGTGACGTGCCCGGTCCCCAAGACCAATCCGGGACACTCTTTTCAGTGTTTTTACTCTTTGGAGAATGGTTTTGGGGCGATGGGACCCCACTGTGCCCATCTTGGCTCCGAAAGTGCCTGGGAACTTACATGTCCCTCTCTGGGCAGTCATCAACCTGCGTGTGACCTGTGGGTCCCTGTCCTGGGGCTCTGGCCGGGGCAACTCTGAGGTGACCCACACTGTAGGGAGGACCTGGCCGTTGTCCACCTTAATTCCCTTTAGTCCCTCCAACCCGTTCTGAGTCATTTCCCTTCCCCGGCTTATCTCACCTTACAGAATCCGCGGGCCCCGCGGGCCCATCACCGTGCAGGGGGCCGAAACTGTCCCCTCAGCGGTGATGTCTTCCCTGGCACGTGCAGGACCCTGCCGACGCAGACCGAGGGGACTGTCCAGCAGACCACAGCTTGACCAGGACGGCTGGACGACACGTTTCCTGCCCCACCTGCTCTAGTTCTTTCCCTGGGCCACCCTGGAGCTGGGCAGGTCCCCTGCCTCCTCCCAGTGTGGCCACAGCGAATGAACCAGGTTCCGGAGCCAGGCCTCTGTCCCCAGGGGCTACGCGAGCCTGGCTGGTGCCAGGGAGATGGTTACTGCCTGGTTCCCACCAGGAACCACCTCCCTCCCGTCCCCAGCTCCCTCCCAGTGTCCCCTGCTGCTGGGGACGGGTGGAGGCCCTGGTTCCGGGTGTTCTCGGCCCCCCAAGGGGTTCCCGGGCCAGGATTTGAGGAGCAAGGTGGCCCCCGAGTGGGGTGCAGTGGCCCTTTGGTTCCCAGCAGTCCCAAGCCCTGCCGGCCACCAGTGGGACACGGGAGGTCAAGAGAGGGACACCCTGGAGGCTGGGGGGAGGCCGGGCTTGACTGGGGCGCACAGGCCAGTGAGGCTCCCTGAAGGGTCTCTGCAGGGGGACAGCAGAGAATGGACAGAGGAACCTGGTGACAGGGAGCCCTGCCAGGGTCTCTAGCCGCTCCCTCCCCTCAAGGTGACGGGGACGGGCTGTGGCCATGATGAAGTTGAACACCAGCGGCTGAACCCGAAGACCCGGCCGTGTTGTCCCCAGCCGTGGACCAGGCTCTGGGGAGGTGTTTGCTGATGTGGACGGCGATGGCGGCTGGAGGCTGGGAGCCAGTCGGCGCCTCTGAGAGGCCCGTGGGGAGGGGCCCAAGGGGACAGCAATACTAAAGGGGAGGGGCGGGGGCCAGGGAGGTCCAGCAGATGCCACGGGGAGCCCGGCTGCCCACAGCCCCTGGGGTGCGCCGCCACTTGCTGGCCCCTGCGTCGCTCTGCCCAGGGACGCCCTGGCCACCAGTGCCCACTCTGCCCACCACGAGGGCTCCGGGTCGCACTGGGGTGGTGCCCAAGTCCTGAGGTGGGCCCTACTGGGACACAGTCAGCACCTCTGGGTCTTCCCGCGATGGCTTAATGCTGAGTCATGACATAAAATTGTCACAGCCAACAGCGAAGGAGCCAGTCACTTCCCGCTGTGTCTGAACCTCCTCTTTCCTCCCTGGGAAGGGGCGCGGGGTGCTGTGTGTCCCCAACACCTTCTGACACTTGGGCATGATTTTTAAGCCGAGCGTGGGCCCCCGGCTCAGAGCCTTCCTGGCCAGTCAGGGTGACCGTGTGAGCCACCTCCTGGGCTGGGGTCCTCCGTCACCCCACCCAGGCACCCCGCTCTGTGCCCACCCCGCTCTGTGCCCACCCCGCTCTGTGCCCAGGGCCCTGCCCGTCTCCCTGCTGCTGGGTGGGAGAAGCCGGGCTCACCCTCCTGGCGCATCCCTGGCTGGCTTTGTCCTCCTGCCTGTGACTTCCACTCCTGGGGTCCCCCACCCCAGGTCGGGGCTCACTGGCTCTCGATCACTGCCCCACCCTTCCCCGCCTGCCTGGGGGGCAGTAGCAGCTCCCCACTGTTCGCCTTGGGCGCCCCCCCCCCATTCTGATCCCCCCCTTCCTCGGTTTATCAGCTGCCTCCATTCCAGCCACCGGGGCTGGGTCCCCCCTGACTCATCTCGTGTCATTGCAATAAATCCCGGTCCCCTGATGGAGCAGGGTCCAGGCCAGTGCTTCAGAGTTGCTCCCGACCAGCAGCCTCAGGGTCTCCCGGGGATGGTGGTGCAATGTCGGGGACTTCACCCACCGGGGACCTGCTGGAGGGGGGTCTCGGTGGCGGAGCCCCTGCTGCGTCCTAAAGCCCCCGCCCCCTCCTCTGATCCGAGACCCACTAACCTAAGGCTCTTTTTAAAGCGGACGGCGCATGCGTGAACGCGGAGATGGGAAGGGACACCCCAGGGCCCGCGGCGGGGAGATGGGAAGGGACACAGGGCCCGCGGCTCACTGGAGGCCCATCGCCGTGGCCAGGCAGGGCAGCGGTTCCATCATCACAGAGATGATTGTCCCCAGTCTCCAAAACCTGCCACCAAGGGCTCGATTTGCAGAGGAGAATGGGTGACCTCCGGGGGCAGTAGGAGTGAAGTGATTTGTCACCGGGGGCAGGGCCCCTGGGTGACAGCCCGCCCTGCTGCCTGCACTTCTTGCCTTTTTAAAAAAACGGCCTGGGAGCCCAGGAGGCCAGGAGGCCAGCCCTGACCCTGGTGGAGTTGATGGGTTTGCAGGAACCG